AATTAAACTATATAAATAATTAAAATATTACGGACCTAGTTAACTTTGATGTTATTCGTACGGCTACTCTCTTTTTTTTTTATTTATATTTATTTATTTATATTTCCATTAAGTTCCATTGAAACAAATTATTATTACTTTTTCTTAAATACACACTCGTCTTCATAAATTGAGCCTTTATTAGCATTACCTTTTTAAAAAACCTTACCACTCCAGACCAAGACGAACCTTGGATCACGAAGCCGTTCAAAATCATCTCATGGCTAATCTTTCTGTCTCTGGTCTCTGTTCTCACTCAGATGATTTGATGATTTTTACCCATTTATAGAATTATAAACTTGACAATAAGTATGTAATTTCCAACTTGTTTCGCAAATAGAAAAAAAAATACTTAAAAATATTGCACAATTTTTTAATTAGCATAATAATCTTTTTTTTTTTCTTTCTTTATATAGATTGTCTCCATAGAAATGCTTAGAGAAAAACGGGTCAACTTTTTTATACAATTTTGCGTGATAAATAGTCATGAGTGATTCCATTATAACATCTATACTTATTTTGTCTTATAAATTCTGCATCTTTTTAATGTGCAAAAACTCATTTTATTTATTAAATAATTAAATATAGATACATTGTGTTAGTAAGTAAAAAGGACATTAATAAAAAAAAAGAGTCAGCTAATTTGACAATTAGCTGACAAAAAGTTAACCCGTTTTTGAGACTCGTTGCTTTGTCTATGTAATCTAAGTTATTACCCTATTTGTATTGAAGTTTAATAATTGAGTGTCTTTCAAGGTGGTAACACTAGTTTCGAAACGGAGGAAAGAATTTCAAAAACTGGCTACAAAGACCGCCTTACTGTACTTATACAATTGTATCGTTGTGTTTGTAAATTGCCTTGCTTATTTCCTATATTGTATAATGCAAATAAAGTATACTCATTCATTCATTCATACAATTTCTTCATTTATGGATGTCAATGGTTAATCAGACCTTGCGCTCGGTTCGATGCTAGACAGAAGCAATGTTTGTTTAATTAATTCAAACCTAACTTGATTTGATGTACTAGTATTTAGCAACGGTGGAATGGTAGTCACATATGTTATATAATCGTTTAACATCGCATATAATATTAGCGGAAGGATTATAAAAAAAATATTATTAAAACTGGTTATTTGATTAGAATTATTTTGTTTATTTTGTTTAATTCCGCTACCATGTGTGTATGTGTGTGTGTCTGCCAACACTCGAAGACTGACCACCACTGTTACTACTATAACTATTATTGGTATAATACATCATACATACTAATGTCACACACACTAACGTTTTATTTATTTATTTAAACGCGATTACAAACGCGGTACTTCATTAAAGGGATAGATAAAGAAAATAACAATAAGCTAATAATGTTTACCTATATACAAAATAAGTAATATATACATAAAATTATTAAAGTAAAAAAAAAAATATATGTACTGTGTGGACTGCCGTACAGTGAGCGTGGACTGTAGGGGCGTTGGTTCAGGCTGGAGTGAAACACAGGGATTAGTATTCTGAAGCCTCCGGTACCGTCTGAAGAGAGTATTTTTCTTCTTGTCCTATTTCTTCTCGAGTGTAGTGTGTCGCTGCCCGGAAGCGAATGCCGCTCGACGGGAGGCGGCCTATCTTTATACCCGCCCGCTCGCACGATAACGTTTCCAACTCGCGTTAGCGAATCTGCGCGAGCGGGACGGGGCGAGAAATGAGCGAGACGCGTGTCTCTTCAGATCGGTACTCTATAGAGTCTATTTATTTATTACAATTTATAATCTCTTAATTCTATTTATTGTTACAATTTCTATTTCTATTCGTAGGTAATAAGGACAACACACAAAGGAATACTTTATTTAACTTACACTATCTTAAATCTATGTAAATCTATATAAAACAACAGAATACAAAAAACGATCAAACTAGAAACTTAACAACTAACTATAACATTGCTATAAATATCACTATATATACAATAATGTCGCGAACATAATCTCCCGCCGCAGCTCTCGTAGCTGGAGTTAACTCGTGTTCGCGTCGCTCGATGTCGATGTGGGCAGTATGATCAGCTTCTTAGTGGGTCGCCGTAGGATGCCCTTGTTCGTCCGCACGTCGACCGCTCGAACCTCGCCGTCTGGTCCAGGGTAGGTCGCCACCACCACGCCTCGCGGCCACGTGTTGCGAGGCAAGGTCCCATCAGCTATTAGGACCAGGTCGTCCATTTTGATCGCCCCGTGTGTAGCTCGGGGCTCCCGCCGGTGTTGCAACTCGGGTAGGTACTCCTTCACCCACCGGTTCCAGAAGCAGTCGGCTAGCCTCTGGCTGGCACGCCACTCCTTGTGTCCCGCCGCGTCGCTCTCTGTGAAGCTGCCTGGCAGTGGGACGCGCGATGGACCGCTCAATATGAAGTGATTGGGGGTTAGGGCGCTGTCGTCGTCTGCCGATGTTGACACGTGGGTTAGCGGTCGACTATTGAGGGTGTGCTCGACCTCGACCAGCAGAGTGTGGAGGACCTCTTCCTTGGGGGCCCGCTCGTTCAACGTAGCGGCTAGTGCGGTCTTCACGCTACGCACCAACCGTTCCCACGCACCTCCCATGAAGGGTGCGCTCGGGGGAATGTAGCGCCACCGGATGAAATGGACTGATGACTCTTCTTGGATGGCTTCCTCGGCTGCCTTCTTCAGCTCGACGTCAGCACCTTTGAGGTTGGTGCCTTGGTCGGACCATAATTCCGTGGGACACCCTCTGCGGCTTATGAAGCGCCGCAGGGCCATTATGGCGGAGTCCGTGCTGAGGCTGCCGGCGATTTCTAGGTGGACTGCGCGCGTCGTTAGGCAGGTGAAGAGCACTCCGTACCGCTTCTGGTGAGTGCGGCCCACTGTCACGGTCATAGGCCCGAAGTAGTCTAGGCCGGTGAACGTGAACGGTCGCTGATGATGCGCCAGCCTGCTCTGTGGATGGTTGCCCGTTGATGGCTGCGCCGGTCTTGCTCTTCGTAGGCGGCACAGCTGACACCTCTTCAGTTCACTGCGGACGGCGTGTCGTAGGCGCAACACCCACAAGTGTTGTCGCACCTCGTTCGTGGTGATCTCGAAGCCGCCGTGGTGAAGTTTTCGATGCACCCATGCGATGTATAGGCGCACCCAGGCGTGGTTTCCGTCGACGATGGGGGGCTCTCGTTGCTCGGCTGACAAATCGGCGGCGGCTGCTATTCTCGATCGAAGTCGCAGAATGTCGTCGTTGTCTATGACGACTGACAGCTGTATGAGTCGACTGGATGACGGCAGCTGTTTTCCTTGTTTCAATACTGCGATTTCGTCGCCGAACGCCTCTTGCTGTATCGCGCGAATCCATAGCCGTCGCGCGCGATCTAGGTAGTGTGTGTCTATGGGGATGAAACACACAGATGGACTATTGCTGTTCTTGATTTTCATCTTCGTCTTCTCTCTATCGACTTTCTTCGTGCGGGTCCAAGTGGGGTCGGCGCTCTCTTTCTTCTTGTTTCTCTTTCGGATGGCGGTGCAGCGTTGACTGGTCGGTCGCAGGAGGCCGATGAACTGCAACACCCGTGCTGAACTGCGAACAAGTTTTAACCAATTAGAAAAACGTGACGGATCGGGTAATGCTATAGACAACTGCGTCGCGTTCTGTAGCTTGTGTACGCGTTCTTCTCCCGTTTCCGCTTGACTATCGTCGCTCGTACTATCTTCACGCGGCCACTGCTCTTCGGGGAGGTACAGGAAGTCCGGCCCACGGAACCATCTATGCTGCGAGCCGAAATCCGTCGGTGGGTCGCGTGTGGCGTCGTCTGCTACGTTGTGCCGCGTCGGTATCCATCTCCACTCGTTCGTCTTCGTTTCTTCGACGATCTCGGCGACTCTGTGTGCGACGAACGGCTTGTATGCGCGAGGACCGGTGCGTAGCCACGCGAGCACGGTGCGTGAGTCCGACCAGTATACTCGGCGAGCGGGCTTCAGGTCGTGCTCTTCGACTGCCGTGCGCGATAGGCGACACCCGAGGACGGCCGCTTGCAGCTCCAGTCGCGGTATCGTGGTCACCTTGCTGAGTGGGGCCACTCGTCCCTTTGCCGCGATCAGCGACACGTGGACCTCGCCGGTCGCGCTTACGGCCCGCCAGTACACCGCACAGGCGTACGCGTCCGAGCTGGCGTCGACGAATGTATGCAGCTCCGCTGTATCGGCCGTGGCTACCTCCGGGTGGCACCGCGGCACCTCCAGCGCGGACAGCCGTCGCACGTGGTCCATCCAGCTCCGCCAGGCGTCCGCTTCCCGTGGTTGCAGCTCGGTGTCCCAGTCGATACCGGTACGCCACGTCTCCTGCAATATCTTCTTTGCCTGTATGGTGATGGGAGTGGCGAGGCCCAGTGGATCGAACAGCGACATGATCGCTCGTAGCGCTTCCCTCTTCGTCGGCGTCTGTTCCCCGCTAGCTATCTGTGGCGGAAGCTTGTGTCCGTTGAAGTTGAAGCCTAAGGTGTCTTCAGAAGGTCGCCATACCATCCCCAGTATCTTCTCCGCGTCGAGTTGTACCACGCTGTCCCCGCCGGTGTCGGAGAACGCGGCGCGCACTTGATGCGAGTTCGACGCCCACCGTTGGAGATAGTAGTTGGCTCGACCGTGGATCTGTGCGACCTGTCTTGAGACGCGTACGGCTTGCTCTTCCGTGTCGAAGCTGGCGAGGTAGTCGTCGACGTAGTGGTTCATGACCACCGCCGTTGCTGCCTCCGGGAACTCTTCCTTGTACTGTTCTGCGTTCTTGTTCTTGACGTAGATCGCTGTACACGGTGACGATGTTGCGCCGAATATGACACTCTTCATCCTATATTCCACAGGTGGATCCTCTCGTCGATCTCCTCGCCACAGGAACCGTTGCATGTCCCTGTCTTCTTCCCGTATGGTGACCCGCATGAACATGTCCTTTATGTCCGCCGTGACTGCCACCCGTCGTTACCGGAACCGCATGAGGACCCCCGGTAGCGATTGAAGTAAGTCGGGGCCCGGCAGCAGCATGTCGTTCAAACTGATGCCCTTCGTCTTGGCTGCTGCGTCGTGCACGATCCGCAGTTTCCCCGGTTTCTGCGGGTTGATGACGGCGAAGTGTGGCAGGTACCACACCCGTTGGGAACTCCGTGGCGGGGCGACTTCAGCATACCCGTTCTTGAGTAGCGTGTCTATTTGCTGTTCATACCTCTTCTTAATTTCTTCATTCTTGTCGAGTTTCCTTTCGACCAGTTGGAGACGTCGCATTGCCGATTCGTAGTTGTCCGGCGGCACAGGGTCGTCCTTTTTCCATAGTAACCCCGTCTCGTATCCTCCCGCCGGTAACGGACGAGTTTTCTCTTCTAAAATGCGCAGGGCGCGACGTTCCTCTTCATTGTAAGACCTCTTCGGTGCGATTCCCAGCGATTCGAGCGCGAAATGTTGCTTCATCATTTCTTCCATTGATTGTTCCTCTTCGTGTGTCGTCACTATGTGGCTGATTCTGTGCACCTGCTGTCTTGTCCTGCCGCGACTCGTACCGTGCAGTACCCATCCCAGGTCGGTGAGTGATGCGACCGGCTGCGTGTCGGATCCTCTTCTGACTTCGTGGGCCAGCAGTAGGTGCCAGTTGTCTTGCCCCAGCAGCACCGTCGGTTTGCCCTCTTCATAGACCAATTCCCTCTCTATGTCCCGCAGATGTGGACAGCCCTTGATGACGCTGCGCGGTACCGACTGCGGTGATAACTGCAGTCTGTCCATCGTCCGTGCCCCCACTGTGTATTCTTGTGAATTCCGCCCGCGGATCTTGAAGTGAACACGCGTCGATTGAGCTGCGTTGATCCGCGCCCCGGCCACACCTTCCATGTAGAATGGTGCGGGGGGACCCGTAGCACCGATTCGCTCTGCCACCGTCGTCTCGATGATGGTGCAAGTCGACCCGTCGTCCAGTAGCGCGTAGGTGTCGCACGTTCCCGTGGGACCGGTGACTCGTATCGGCAGGATCTTCAGGAACGCGATCTTGTCGTTTTCCCTTGCCGATGCGGTGACTGCGGCGGACTTGTCCTCGACGACGTGTGTTGTTACTTCATTCTCCGGCTGTTGACGCGTGGCGTGCAGCAGAGGGTGATGAGTCTGCGTGCACTCATCTACTCCACATCTCTTGCTCTTGCAGGCGTGGCGAAATCTTCTCACTTTGAGGCAACGGAAACACAGCCTATGAGTCTTCGCTAGTTCCCATCTCGCCGATGTGTCTGCTTCCTTCATCGTCTTGCAGTCCGATGGAGCGTGTCCCTCTCGTCGACACATCGGGCACGGTGGTGTAGCGGGTTTCTCCTGCGTCGTGTATGTCTTCGCCGTCTTCCTTGGAGCGGACTCCCGCCGGTCTTCGGACGGTATCTCCTCGGCGGGGGCGAAGTTTCCACATCGTGTGGCGGTCCTTTGCAGGAACTGAGAGAGTGTTATGAGGTCCGGTTGTCCCTCCGGTTGGTCGTTGGCGAAATCGTAGTACTTGAAGCGTAGTACCGACGGCATCTTCTCTGTGACGTTTCTCACTATTTCTTCGTTGTAGAGGTAGTGACTCTTGTTCAGCGCTCGTATCGTGGCGACGACGTTCTGCACCTTGCTTGCGAAGAGGCAGACGTCTCTTGCGTTGTCCGAGAGTCGTGGTAGCGCGCGGAGTTTGTTCAGTTCGGCTGTGACGAGTGCTCCAGGGCGGCCGAACCTCGCGGCTAACATCTTCATTACTTCTTCTGCGGTCGTAGACCCGACGAATAGGGAGCGTGCCGCGTCCTTTGCGGCCCCCTTCAAACTTCTGCGCAGTCTTGCTAGGTTCTCTTGTTCTGTGAGTTGACTTGCGCTCTCTTCATAGGCCATCTTCCATGGTAACCACTCGCTCGACGATCCATTGAAGACTGGCAACTCGGTGACTCTTGACGCTGTGGAGGGCAGTATGTTGCGAGCGGCCATCTGCATGGCGATCGCAAACTCATTACAATCGATGCCCACCTTCAGCACCGGTTCTTCTTTCTTCATCGACTGCATTGCTGCTGCTATCGTAGGCATGGCGGCATGTGGGTCAACGTGGCGTGCGTGGTCCCGGTGAAGTGCGTCGCTGCTCGGCTGTGGCGGCGGCGCTCTCGAATCCTCTTCAACGGGTCTCGATGGGACGAACCCCTGACGCTTGCCGGTGACTTCTTCTATCTCTGGTACATGCGGCTCCATCGTGAGTGCCAGCGTGCTTCGACGAACCCAATCCGACGTTCGTTCTCTTCTGACGGTAGCGTCGTCGTCTTCTATTTCCTCGTCGTCCTCTGATTCGGCTTCCAGGGCGGCGACACGTGCGGCGGCCAATTCCACCTCCTTTCGAAGTAGCTCCTCCCGTGCCTTGGCCAGAGCCTTCTTCTTCTGCGAGGCCGTGGTGCGAACCGTGCGTGCCGTGCCGTGCTTCGGTTCCTTCTTCCTTGCTGTCTCCTCTGTCGTTCCTGTGGCTTCGGTAGTCTCCGTGGCTCCTGTGGTCGTCGTATCGCCGGACGTGTTCGTAGTCGATGTGGTGGCGGCGGTAGACGACGTGGCAGCGACAGAAGACATTCTGACAGCCGCAGACGACGTGGTGGCAGCAACGGATGGCGTGGCAGCGACGGACAGCGTTCCGGCGGTCGTAGTCGACGTGGTGGCGGCGGACGTTGTGGCTTCGGTGACGGCGATTTTTTGTTGCGACGACTTCATGTTTCTCGTAGTCGGCATTTCAGCGATCCGGCTTCAGAATGGTCTTCCTCCAGCGATCCGGCTTCTCGATGTACCAACGGTGTTCCTCCAGCAATCCGGCTTCTCGAAGGACCACGATGTACTGTGTGGACTGCCGTACAGTGAGCGTGGACTGTAGGGGCGTTGGTTCAGGCTGGAGTGAAACACAGGGATTAGTATTCTGAAGCCTCCGGTACCGTCTGAAGAGAGTATTTTTCTTCTTGTCCTATTTCTTCTCGAGTGTAGTGTGTCGCTGCCCGGAAGCGAATGCCGCTCGACGGGAGGCGGCCTATCTTTATACCCGCCCGCTCGCACGATAACGTTTCCAACTCGCGTTAGCGAATCTGCGCGAGCGGGACGGGGCGAGAAATGAGCGAGACGCGTGTCTCTTCAGATCGGTACTCTATAGAGTCTATTTATTTATTACAATTTATAATCTCTTAATTCTATTTATTGTTACAATTTCTATTTCTATTCGTAGGTAATAAGGACAACACACAAAGGAATACTTTATTTAACTTACACTATCTTAAATCTATGTAAATCTATATAAAACAACAGAATACAAAAAACGATCAAACTAGAAACTTAACAACTAACTATAACATTGCTATAAATATCACTATATATACAATAATGTCGCGAACAATATATATATATATATATATATATATATATATATATATATATATATATATATATATATATATATATATATGTACGAAACACTACGGAGATACAAAGGAAACAGCGTCATCAGACAAAGTGTTTAAAACATATTACATTTCTATGGATTCTGAATAAAAAGAACGTATTTATATATAGTGAGTAGTACAATAGTAGAAGTGATTCACAAATAACAGTTCCCACACTAATTAGTATTCTCTTTTGCCCTCAACATGTTCTTAAGATATCAAACACAAGCGTGCATATGGCTCATTCATTGATTAAAACAGGAAACAATTCATTAAAACGCTTGATAAATAATTGTTTTGTTAGCGACTTAATTCGGACGATGACTGACTACTTGCGATTATTTCTTTGCATTCTGCCTCTAAGTACATCCTGTGTATCACTTAATACGATAATTGTATACCAAAATAATGGCTTAACATGGTCGAAATTCAAGCTACCATGTTCAGTGGAGAGGTCACTCTGCGAAAGTACTTACTTAGGTATAAAAAACAACATTATGAGGCAGACTTTTTTTTGGTTCCGTTTTCCCTTATGCATAGGGAAGGCAAAAGGACTGAGCCTATACAGCCATTACATCTTCACAATCACTACATGCATCAGTCTTTGCCTCAAAGACTATATATATGAAATGCTTAGTGAAAAAAAAAAACTTTACTCAACATGTGTCAAAACCTGCAATGCGTAATATTGATTTGTGTTTTAAAACCAACAATGTTGTAAGTATTGCTAGAAATAGTATTTTGTTTGTGGTATCCCCGCTAACATTCTGGTTCAGTCTGTACCTACCTACTCAATGGGAACTCAAAAAACGGTCTGTAAGTGTCTGTAGCAAACTCATCGACCGAATCTTAACATAACATTTTATACCGCCATTTTTTCCCGCCATGATGTAACTGAGGTCGACGCCCCAACACCTGTTGCTTGTTTTTTTTTTAATCACGCCCGGGCGCTGGACACTCATCTATTAAGCACTCAGTTTTTGTTGCAACCTCTTTCTTTGTCGATGGTTATTGATTTACGTTAAAGTCGGCCGAGTAGTTTGTAATGATCGCGGCGTTACGTACTCGTTTCCTCTATTAGTTTATGATGTTCGCAACTTCTGTGGTACTGTTCATTCACAGATTAATCATTTGTCACGCCCTTACTTATGCGCATGGTGTATTTCCGTCTCGTTCTCTCTCGGGACTTCTATTCAGCCTACCGTGAATATTTATGAGTTGGAGCATTGCAGCGATTCACTGAAACGAAAGCCATTTCGGTTTATATGATCAGTTACTTACCGAACATGCATTGCAATTGATTGCAATCACATGCAACTGTTACAATTGGATGCAAAGTATTCATTATTTTACAAATAAGCTAAAATATTATTATTATTTTCGGTGATGCGTCTGTAACAACTAGGAATATTTTAAAGTCATGTTTCATAGATGCCCTCATCAACATATCAGCCTTTAACCGTCCACTGCTAAACATAAGTCTCCCGCTTGGGGAGTTGTGCTAATAGTTAGCTAGTAGCCATACTTAGCAGGCGAATTGGCAACCGCACTTAAGCTGTAGAGATGTTTTAAGTGGGACGCTACTGTCCATCCTTCGCCCACCCTTATTCGCCTGCTATGACATCCACGGGAAAGGATGGGATGGCCTATTCTATACCGGGAACACACGGTCATTTATAAATGCCATAATTTATATCTCAAAATGGACCCAAAAGAGCTTAATTAAAATATATATTGAAAGGATATAAAAAGTTTGCTATCAATAAATGGCTTTTTGTAACATAAAATAGTATAGTGTTATGTTCACTCCAGTCGTAACAATCAAGAAATGCGTCTGACTACCCCATTAGCAATTATAATCGTGAGTATGAAGCGCTATTCCCCGTTACTTATAATTGAGAATTAATTTATTTCCTTTAACAAAATTAAGCTACAGTACAATATAGGTATGACCCCACATTAGACAAAACCTGTCTCGTGGAAGTCACAGCAAGAAATTCCTTCCCACCGAATTCAGATTTATTTTATTTATTGTATGGTAAATACATCGTTAATCTTTTTGTCTTCTATTTTGTTTAGCAAATTTAATAATATATTATCTACCGACTTAAAAAAATGTAGATTCTTAATTCGAATATATTTTTTTTGTTTCTTACCTCGTAACTACGTCAGAAGTAAACTGTTTCGGAATTTTTTATCTTAAATTTATCTTAAAGTATATACTTATAGATTGGTTTCATATAAATTTTATCAAAATCGGTTCAGTAATCTATTTTTGAAATAAAATATTAAAATATAAATATTTTAACATAAACGACTATTTTAATAACTGTCTCCTTAATAAACAGAGCCGGAAGTTTACACAACGCACTTTTTTATTCTATAAAATAATATATTTAAACAATAAAGAAGTGATCTAATGGATCTTTCCAAATTGCGGTTATGTACAGCTTAACTTTACTTAACTTTACAAAGATCCGTTCTGAAAGTCAATAACTTAAGCATTGGGTGCTAAAGAGATCAATCACGCGTGTTCTTGAGAACCATTTACACTTGCCTACTAAATATTTTATGAAGATATCTATTTTAATACACTATTTGTTTCCCGTAGAGCCGCGGGTATCCCGCATGAATTATTATATAAAGTATGCTGTGTTGGAATTTAAGATATAACCTATCCGTGTATCAATTTGTATTAAAATCCGTTCAGATTTTTAGCGTGATTGAATAACAAACATCCAAACATTTTTATTAATTTTCGCATTAATTAAATATATAAATGGGTACCCCAAATTATAATTGGGGTCCTACTTATATTATATATACTTCAGTTTTGTAAGTTCGTTCCAAATTTAAATAAATATATTTTCTTTCCATTACTTCTGTTACTTAATCTTACTCTGTACCTCATTTCATAATTCTAGATATAAACTGACGTTGGAAGTTATTTTGGGATGTTATTCGGAAATAAATTACAATATTAAATATTTATTACCTAAGTAAAGTTTTTCCCAAAACTCGCGCCACTGACATTGGCCTGCCTCCTGCACAATATAATACTATACTAGCCTATACTTAGCTATTAAGCAAATCTTAAATTAAAAATATAATCTATATGTATATTAAAATAATGGTATATTGAGGTAATATAAAAGAGAAATATCTTAGTAACATTTACTTTAATATGAGAGAGAGATACAAAGTATTTGACACATTATAGGCTCCAAAAAGTTAGGCAAAAGTTATACGTAGACGTATCCATAGATGGAGCAGCATGTCTTTTTTTGTGGTTAAAAATAAAACAGTGGCCCTGTCTGCGCTATCGGTATACAATGGAGAGGCACCAGTGAGGAATGATAGGATGAAATAGGTCGGTTGGCCAATCATGACGAATTCAAAAATAATTATTTAACAAAATAATTAAATACGTGTATAAATAGGAAGACTTTGTACAAAAGTCGATTGCTCGGGTACCTCTGTCTCATTCGTGTTTCAACCGTGAAGCAGTTGTGTTTGCATGACTGTGTTTCCGTTTGAAGGGTGGGATATGGCGTGAATTTACTGGGTACAGAGGAATAACACCTGAGTCCTCAGGAATGGCAACGCATGGGAGGTATCATAGGGGAAACAGTATACTCTATGTCCATGCTACTGCTCATGTCTATAGGCGACGGTTACCACTTTCCATCAGGTGGGCCGTCAGCTTGTTTGCCATTCTAAGTTGTATAAAAAAAAATATATAAGTAAATTTAATTTAAGATTTACGTATATTGTATAAGGAACTTTACAATGATGACTCAGTTATACAGAGCAAGGTGATGTGCTTTTATTTTGTTGCGGCCCATTCGTATCAATCGCTTGTAGCTTCAGTGCTTCTGGCGTAAAAAAAAATACATTTTGTCTATGCTTCTGGTATGTAGAACTACTGATAATTGGGGAGAGAAGGGTTTGTTAGTAATGGGACTAGCCGCTTCATTGCTAGAAATGTACTTTATCAGGTCGACGCGGTTCCTCCTGGAAACCATCGTGTCTCTATGTATTCATCACGATGAGTCCACTGCCCTGCTCTTATCCTCATCTATCATCCTTCACTGGTGCCCCGCTAGCGTATACCGTTAGCAAATGCGAGGTTACCGTCCCATTATCATTCATTAAAAAAAAACATAGATAATTTAATAGTATAGGTACTAGCAGTACAACAAATAATGTTAGAATCCTCTTTATCCCTTTTTTTGAGAACCCCATGCTGTAGTCTCTGGAAAAACCTTGACAGAGAGGTTATTCCGTAACTTGAGCGTTCGTGGGAGAAAACATCTCTGTTTTCGCTATACGCGATCCAGTCGCGTCCAGTCTCTAAAGGGGTGGCCTGTTCTATGCCGGCACTACACGGCAGCATTAAGGTCCGGAATATACATATATATTATACCACTGAGGTGGCAAACAAGCATACGGCCCACCTGATGGTAAGTGGTTACCGCAATCTATGATCACCTGCAATACCAGAAATATTACGTGTGCGTTGCCGACCCTGAAAAAACCTCTACCTCCCTTTTTAAGAACCCCATGCTGTAGTCTCTTGGGAAAACCTCAGCAGGGAGCTCATTCCACAACCTATATATATATATATATATATATATATATATATATATATATATATATATATATATATATATATATATATATATATATATATATATATATATATATATATATATATATATATATATATATATATATATATATATATATATATATATACACACACACACACACACACACACACACACACACACACACACACACACACACACACACACACACACACACACACACACACACACACACACACACACACACACACACACACACACACACACACACACTATATATATATATATATATATATATATATATATATATAAGACCCACTCAAAAGTTATTCATATATATATATTTCCACATCTAGACAGGTTTTTAAGGATATCACACACTAGATGGTAGTCCTGGTGTCCATTTACATTAACTAGTGGTCGCCCAGTGATCGAAATTCGACCTTAACATATATTGTAATAAAATAATTTATTGTGATTATGTTTGACATTCAGTAAGACAATAAATTCAAATTCAAATCATTTATTGCACGTATATATAGATACATACATAAGATGAAAATATTTTTTACATGCCCATTATTCCACATTCTACCATATCGGCATGTACAATATAAAATTAATGTAGGTAAGTTGTTTAATAATAATTTATAACAATAAAAACAATGTCAATAATATTCATAATAAACCAATTTATAAATGCTTTTTTCTTAAATATTTTTGAATTGTCTATTTCCTTAAATGCCTCCGGGAATTTATTTTATATATTAGAAAACCATACCAAAAAAAACATTTATCAAATAATGCTGTGACGTGAGCCTGAACGCGAATTTTATCAGTATTACGGATACTTTTTAACTTATCGAATAAAATTTTATTCTTTTTCACAAACAATATTGTTTCAAGAATATAAAGGCTCGGAAAAGTCAAATAATATCGAATAGTATAAAAAAATAATATTAAATACAAACAATATTAATTTATTCTCAATTTGACCGTAGACTTTAACAATAAACAAAAGACTATATATACGTGTGTGTGTGTGTGTGTGTGTGTGTCAAATACATGGTAGTGTGTGTAATGTTTTTTATTTTATTGATTTATTGTATTTTTATGCATAATTTGAAAAAAATTATAACCATCTGCACTCCTTCTCTTTATAAACTGTAAGTATGTCAAATTTCATACTCCTCTGTCGGCGCAGTTGTATTAAAAAAGGATACAAAGTTTTTACGTCACGTATTAATATATTTAAGATGGCGATTCATAAAAAAACTACTTTAATTGTAGCAAAATCAATTACTTTGATTTAAAAACTGAACTGCTGAATCGTTTTTTATAAAAATCTGTGGACCTGTCTGAAAATATATTCTTTCAGATAAAATAGATTTTTTTAAACAGATTTATAACTGACGGAGTTATGAAGGAGCAAACATAAAAAACAATTACAAAAATAATACGCATTCCTTTTTTTAAATGGTATGAAAAATGAACCAAATTACACTTTACACAATTTGTAGGACGTCTATTACGTTCAACTAACTATTAGATGCAAGTAGTATCCTACCTTCTTTTACTGTATAGATACAGAAGAAATACCAATTTAAAAATACGACATAGATATAAAAATCGGGATGTCCATGTAGTTCTAAATATGTGTCAACCCTATTTAACAGGAGTTTACTATCTCGTGGTGAAATCTTATAGATCTGGGTTCTGCCAGGCGGCTTACGCTTACTCTACACTTTTATGAGTTTTTAAGTGTCCATTATAACAGTGGAAAGACCATAATGTTTTGTAGTGGAATAGCGTTGTAGCCAGCTGCGAGCGGCAGGGTTGCCACTAAAAAAATAATTACATAAGAGTTTCTTTGCCTATATCTGTAATTAGACAACCTTGTTTAATTTTTATATTATTAAAATAAAAAATTTAAAATATTTGTGTTACTCTTAATTACTTCGTGTTTTTTATACAATTTGAACTGACAATCTGACGGCCTACCTGTTTTATTATTATTTATTATTAATATATCTGTCACTGTCATTAACTGTCCTCTACTGGATATAGGTCACCCACATAAGGGCATTTTGTTGCCACACCACCCCACCTAATATTTTTTTTATGCAACTTAAAATGGCAAACAAGCTGACGGCCCACCTGATGGAAAGTGGTAACCGTCGTCTATACACATGAGCAGCACCACGGACATAACAGAGTATACTGTTTCGCCCATGATACGCCCTATGCGTTGGCATTCCTGAGGACTCAGGTGTTATTCCTCTATCTATCTATCGTATTTAAGAGTTGCGCTCTTGTCGGTGAAGCTCTTGCCACTCACTACGATTTTCAACGAGTCTCTTCACCTCTTGATACGACACAATACCAACTCCTTGGATCTGTCTGATGTAACTATGTCTCGGTCTCCCTCTTCCCCTCCTTCCTTCTATCTTACCTTTATTATTCCTCTGTACCCTGTAAATTCACTGCCATATCCCATCCTACAAACCAAAACACAGCCATGCAAACACAACTTCTTCACGGTAGAAACACGAATGAGACAGAGGTGCCCAAGCAAACGACTTTTGTACAAAGTCTCCCTCTGGTTAAGAAAGAAAGAAAGTTGTTATTATTGTTTATAGACATGAAACAGTTTGAAGGGTGCGATATGAGTGTAATAGCGTCATAGTCGTAGAATACTGACGGATCTGACAAAGATTACATTTTTTTTTATACAACTTAGAATGGCAAACAAGCTGACGGCCCACCTGATGGAAAGTGGTAACAATCGCCTATAGACATGAGCAGTACCATGGACATAATAGAGTATACTGTTTCGCCCATGATACCCCCCATGCGTTGCCATTCCTGAGGACTCAGATGTTATTCCTCTGTACCCAGTAAATTCACGCCATATCCCACCCTTCAAACCGAAACACAGCCATGCAAACACGACTGCTTCACGGTGGAAACACGAATGGGACAGAGGCACCCAAGCAAACGACTTTTGTACAAAGTCTCCCTCTGGTTAAGAAAGAAAGAAAGTTGTTATTGTTGTTTATAGACATGAAACAGTTTGAAGGGTGCGATATGAGTGTAATAGCGTCATAGTCGTAGAATACTGACGGATCTGACAAAGATTACATATATAGATCCGTCAGTATTCTACGACTATGACGATATGATATTCATGGGATGTTATTATTGACAGATCAATCGAGGTATGGTTGAAGACGGGACGTTTACACAGCGAGATCCTAGCGGAGCAGAAACTAAGCGAAGGGCAGCTCCGGAGACCTGGCGCGACTGTCATATTATGGCTGAAATGTGAACAGGTGGGTACACATTTTTATAATAGAACAAGTTGACTCGGAAAACTTGTTTTGTCCTCAACCGCCACCTACCGGATCTATTATTTCTTATCAGAATCTAAATGACCGTACAAATAATACACCACTTACATTAAAGATTGTGTTTCACAAAAATACCGACTTCAAATGACACAACCAGTTGATTTTAATTTAAAAGGTAAACTGCTGAGTCGACTTTGATAAAATTTCTAAGGGACCAGTCTGTAAGTATATCATTTTAGTTAAAATTTAATTTTTCAAATAGGTTTACAACTAACGTTAGGATGTAATAAACATAAAAAAAATCACAACGGAATTAAGAAACTTCTTTTTTTTAAGTCGGTTGAAGACGAATATCAGTACCCCTAAACATGTATTTTTTTAAAGGGTGATAATAGAATTATAATCCCGCCGGCACTATTACTTGGATACCTCTGTCCCATTCGTGTTTCAACCGTGAAGCAGTTGTGTTTGCATGGCTGTGTTTCGGTTTGAAGAGTGGGATATGCGTGAATTTACAGGGTACAGAGGAATAACATCTGAGTCCTCAGGAATGGCAACGCATGGGGGGTATCATGGGCGAAACAGTATACTCTATTATGTCCATGGTACTGCTCATGTCTATAGGTCATTTTCAGTAAAAACATTAGCATCTAGAAATAACAGACTACTAAAACCATGGATAACTACAGGTATACTTAGATGTATTAGAACAAGAGATAGGATGCATAAGAGGTTAAAATTTAATCCAAACAACAATACACTAATGGTTACATATAAAAGATACAGAAATTTTTGTAATAACCTATTAAAACGTATAAAAAAACAATATGAAAGAGAACAACTTATGATGTATAAAAATGATTCTAAAAAATTATGGACTACTATTAAAAAAATAACTAACATTAACACTGCTAAAATTCCACCGCTGGAACTTCTAAAAACCGAAAATAGACCAGACATTGCAGTTAACAATATTAATAAATATTTCACAAATATAGGAAAGCAATTAGCAGATAAAATTCCACCTACCATCCCTTATTTTGCCTGTGAAGCTGAACCTTCTGTAAACTCCTTTGTTCTGTTGCCAACTGATATTGAAGAAGTTCAATCTACTATTAAACAATTAAAACGTAATTGCTCTCCTGGGTGGGATATGATTTCTACTGAGGTTTTATATGCTATTTCTGATACGGTATCTCCTGTTATTACAGATCTAATAAATCGATGCTTCGATTCAGGAATTTTTCCGGATGCCTTAAAAAAAGCTGTGGTCCATCCTATATATAAAGCGGGTGACAGAGGTTGTGTCAATAACTATAGACCGATTGCTATATTGTCAACATTATCTAAGGTATTTGAGCGAATCGTAAATTCAAGATTAGTTAAATTTCTAGAAAAATATAAATTACTCTCAAAAGCACAATATGGTTTTAGACCAGGACTTTCTACAGATGATGCAATCAATGATTTTGTAAATTACCTTGTTGATAAAATTGATACTAAAAAGAAATGTTTGACAATATTTATTGACCTTGCCAAGGCATTTGATACGGTCTCCGCCACAAAAGTTATTAATAAACTGAACAATTTGGGTATTAGAGGTACGACACTTAAACTAATAACTGACTACCTTAGAAATAGAACACAGTGCATTAAAATAGGAAACTTTGTGAGTAGTGACTTACCTATAGAATTTGGTGTGCCGCAGGGTAGCATTATGGGCCCAACGTTGTTCCTTTGCTATATAAATGAATTGTGTCAACTTAATTTGAGAAATTGTAGAATAGCGTCATATGCAGATGATACCACTCTCACATTTTTTGCAGACTCATGGGAAGAACTATTTGAACTTGCACAAAGTGGATTTAATAAAGTATCTCATTGGCTTATGAGTAATTCTCTTACTTTAAATGAAGATAAAACTAAATATATTATTTTTTCAATGTGTAAATGCGCTAAAATGTACAATAATAATTACTCTATTCGCGCACACAAATGTAACTTTCCTCCGATATCAGATTGCAATTGCCCCAAAATTAACACAACACAACACATAAAATATCTAGGTGTTATAATAGATGCAAATTTAACATTTGAAAAGCACATTGATTCTGTTTCACATAGGGTGCGTAAACTTGTCTATATCTTTAAACAACTTCGAAATGTCGTAGACGAGAAAACTATAAAATTGGTATACGATGCATTAGCAAGATCTGTCTTAACCTACTGTATTAGTACATGGGGTGGCTGTGCAAAAACTAAATTGATAACACTAGAAAGAGCTCAAAGATTAATATTGAAGGTAATGCTGCATAAACCTCGTCTTTTTCCTACTATAAAACTTTATGAAGACGCAGAGAGGCTTACTGTACGACAGCTGTATATATTACAAATAGTCTTGCGTAAACATTGCTCTCTATCATATGAAAAAATAATTAGCGTCAGCAACACAAGAAGACACTTCCAAGTCTGTGAATCAGTAAATGTTAAGACCTCATTTGCGCAGAGATTTTACCAATTCCGCAGTGGAATCGTATATAACAGGATAAACAAATTATTAAACATCTTTAAATATAGTAAAAATGAATGTAAACATATTGTAACAAATTGGCTATTAAAACAAACCTATAACGATACGGAAAAAGTAATAGAAGTAATAAAATTATAATAGTGTATAACAGCGTTATCTACGCTTAAGTATAGAAAAGGAAGAGGAAGAACAATAGAAAAGGAAGGGTATAATAAAACAAAATAAAACATATATGATACTTTTATTTGTAATTCGAATACAACACATACCTAATATAACACACACACACACACACACACACACACATACACACACACACACACACACACACACACGCGCACACACACACACGCACACGCACACGCACGCACGCGCGCTTGCACACATACACACACACACACACACACACACACACACACACACACACACACACACACACACACACAGGAGCGCGCGCGCGCGCTCGCACCTCTTTGTTCTAATATTAAATTATATTTATTTTTACTCCACGCAACTACCTTTTACTTTGAATTGTCAATAATTTATATGGGGGGGGACCTGGTGTCTAAGATACAAGTAACGACTTAGTTTAGGCTCCAGATCTCCCACAAATTATGATACTTTTATTTTGTATAAAGTAAAATGTAATATTATTATACATTGTAATTTGTGGAGATGAATAAACTAATTTTTATTATTTTTTTTATATTTATAGGCGACGGTTACCACTTTCCATCAAGAGAGCCGTCACCTTGTTTGCCATTCTAAGTTACATAAAAAAAAATATTAATTCTAGTTTTACCATTATTATATGGGTGGCAAGGATTGTTAGGAATGAGAATCTAACAGCTAAATAAGAAAATTGTCCTAACTAATATTATAAACATGGAAGTAAATTTGTTTATTTCATACTTTTTATTGATTTAACAGCTTCTACTAATCACTACGAAATTAAGGACATAGACTCTTTGTTCCAGTCAGTAAAATAATTCCCATCAGATAACAAACCCCAGATAACAATTGCAATTAATTCATTAAGTAAATTGTCTATTATGTATTGCATATTAAATTTTTTTTTTTTTTTTATACAACTTAGAATGGCAAACAAGCTGACGGCCCACCTGATGGAAAGTGGTAACCGTCGCCTATTGAGCAGTACCATGGACATAATTTTATATATTGATACCCCCCATGCGTTGCTATATAAAATTAATCACGCCATTACCCTTCAAACCGAAACACAGTTATGCAAACACAGCTGCTTCACGGTTGAAACACGAATGGGACAGAGGTACCCAAGCAATCGACTTTTGTACAAAGTCTCCCTCTGGTGAAATAAATAAATAAATAAATTAAGTAAATTTTCTATTATATATTGTATATAAAATTAATTTATTAAATGAATTGTCTAATATATACTGTATATTAAATTAATTTATTAAGTAAATTATCTATTATAAACTGCATATTAAATTAATTTGTTAAGTAAATTATCTGTTATATAAACAATATATTCTTAACTGCACTTGTAAATTACATATAAAATAATGTATTTATAAATGTTGTGAGCAAGAGTGGACTTATCTCTGACAGAGATCTCTTCCAGTCAACCAAATCTTCCAGTCATGGGCGAAATAGTATACTCTGTTATGTCCATGGTACTGCTCGTGTCTATAGGCGACGGTTACCACTTTCCATTAGGTGGGCCGTCAACTCGTTTGTCATTCTAAGTTGTATAAAAAAACATACATATATATATTGCATATTAAATTGATTTATTAAGTAAATTGTCACGTATCGAATCTATATAAATAAAAATTTCAATCATTTCAGAACGGTTGAACTGTTTTAGCATTCTTTTAAATTTTCGTCGTAAACCAATTAAAGTTGTTAGGGAAATAAAATAAAAAAATAAGGAATTTGAATAAAACAACGTCTGTCGGATCAGCTAGTCATAAATGTTTAGTATAATTTATTTATTGCACTATTATTTAATTAATTAAATAAGTTATTTCGTCCAATTACGTTTCATGCATTGTATTATACTAATTTAAAATATTCCAAGAACCCAACTGTAAAATAGCCTTTATCGGTTCCCCAAAGTATCGTGTTGTGTTTTTCTGTACGCCATGTGCAAGGGTTGAACATACGTAAAAAGCGTCTGCACTCCGGAGAATGCCTAGGGTTGCCTACTTACCACTGATCCTTCTTCGATCTCTAACTCGTCCATTTTGAAAAGTATTTTAACTATTTTCTTCGTAATTTATTATTTAGTAATCATATGAAATAGCTTACCGAATTTCATAAAAAAAATAACCGTAATTATCGCCAAAATAATAACAGTTACTTAAAAATTAAATGTAAGAACAGTAAGCCATAATCCACTAGTGTAATGCATCGATATGTCTCGCTGTATCTTATGTTGGTAATCCTAAATAAATAAATAAATAAA